CTAACTATCTACCTAACTATTTACCTAACTATCTATCTAACTATCTATCTAACTATCTACCTAACTATCTATGTATTTCTCAATCTACCTACTTAAAGGGTGATCCAAAATTTTAGTACTTCACAGAAAAATTTCTCTTCTCTGTCTTATAAAAAATCAAAAAAAGCTCAAAATTTAACTAATAGTCAAGCAATATCAGATAAGTATCACTCTAAATATTCACAACTAAAACTCAAGCTATCGTGAAGACGTAACTCCAAACTAAAAGATTTTTTTCGTACCATCTAACCAAGTAACCGGTGTCCATGATAAATAGATTTATTTTCGACCTTTTTTTCTCAATTTCTAATATGTTTCTTGAAAAAAGTATATCAGAAGATGGCGCGTCAAAATATCTCCAATGTACAATAGAAAGCTTATTTTATATATGATCTTTTAGTGTTCAAAATGGATGAAAATGATGAAAAGAGAAAATGAAGAAAAAAAGAATTCATCATGTATAAAAAATAACTTTTTCGCAACATCAGAATTCACTCACTTCGAAATCTGCTGATTTTGAATACTAAAAGACCATATATAAAATAAGCTTTCTATTGTAGATTATAGATCTTTTGACGCTCCATCTTCTGATATATTTTTTTTGCAACAAACATATTAGAAACTGAGAAAAAAATACAAAATACGACCGTTTATCATGGGCACCTGGTTACTTAATTAGATGATGGGAAAAAATCTTTTAGTTTGAAGTTATATATCTTCACTATAGCTTAAGTTATAGTTGTGAACATTTAGATTGATACTCATTTGGTACTGCTTGACTATTAGCCCAATTTTGAGCCTTTTTTATTTGTTATAAGAGAGAAAAGAAATTTTTCTATGAGATACCAAAACTTTTAGACAAACCTTTATATACCTATTTATATATTATTGGGTGCAGAATTCTAGCGGTGATTTTACTGAGATTTGTCATGGACTTCATATCTTCTTTAGCTTCATCATAGTAATACAAAATACGCAATGTGAATAATATCTAACAGATAATAGTTGCTTTTCAAGAATAATCGATCCTTAGAGAATCGATCTGTCTTATTTATTTCTGCGTTTCTAACAGAATTTTTTTCTTTTATTTTTTTTACTGGCGCTTCATTATTTATTTGCGTTGTTGTCATTCGCTTGTGATTTACTTTTTTTTATTTCGTTTTTCTTAATTTACTATTATTTTTGTTCTTGTTCTAACCAATGATTTACTTGAGAAATTAGCCCGTTGTACATCTTCAATGTATCTGTGACAGGTCTCAACCCACTACTATGGACCTTGATAAACTTATCAAATACTGGTTTTGATAGTTCTCTCAAATTAGAATTTGATCAATTAATACTTTTTGTGTTGCTCATATGACGATTGTAGTAAATCAATACATCACCAGTCATCATCCATCTTTGATATGTAGCATATACTCGTTAATTTGAGCAAAAATCAGAAACCGTACTATATATAACATTCAAAAACATAGTACAGCCATTTAAATTTCAAGGAAAGCTTTGAAATGTTCTAGAACAATCTGAGCCGTGTTTGTTAATACCGTTCAGCACCCTTTTCCGTTGCTAAGGAATCATGGAAAAGGAGTCTGATGCTTGTTATATGTTGGTTACTATGGCAGAATTTGCGTCCAGCGCTCTTTAACCTTCGACCACGGCTGCTAAGGCTTGTAATGAGGAAAGATGAGCCTTAAAATCTCGCATTTAAACTTATACTCACTATTTTTCTTCGAAAAATATATGTGAGTTGCACAAAACGTGTTGTTCATTGAATTGTACGCTTGTGGCAGCCGTATACGACTAGATACGATCGCGCACGGTGATATACGACCGTATACGGCAGTCGTATAACTCCGTATACGGAGTACAGATGTTTATCTTTTAATCATTCCGTATTTTTGTACGATCTCCGTTTACGGAATCCGTTTCTCACCGTATCGCTCCGTAGACGCGCATCGTATACGGAAGCCGTGCACGACCTCCGTATATCTCCGTTTTTCTCCGTAAACGACCGTTTACGAGCGTGCATGTTCGACCTGGGTCTTAAAATCATCGAATAAAAACTTTTTTTTTCTCTATTTTTATTTTATATTTATTTTCATTAAGAATATCCAAAGATTCACGAAATAGTACTTTTGTTATACATTTGTTTCCAACAAAAACTGAAATAAACATTTAAATTAAAAAAAGAATATTTTCTTTGAATAACAAAAAAAGCGTTTTGATTAATTTAACCGGATAACGAAAATAAGAATTAAAATGAAATTGTTAAATGCACAAGAAATAAAAAATATCATTGATTAATTTGATCTTTAGATGGAAAGTTTCAATCAGTTAAATAGATTCCTTACAGACCTTTTATTTCCTTGAATAATAATTAAGTAATCAATATCGATATGTAACATCAAGAACAACAACTGATACGACGGTGAAAACATCGTCATTAATGCCACAACGCACGTCATTAACATCAAAAACTTTGATTTGAACAACAAATAATATTGGTTTATCACCTATGACATCTTCGTCATTAATGATTGCTAATAATGATGAAATTATAAATTCTGTCACTAACTTACAAGTCGCAGTTGCCACAATAGGTACTTATCTATGATATTATCCGAAAACTTACAAATATTGATATATCTTTGACAAAATACAATAATATCTTTTGACCAACATTGTGGAAAATTTGAAATAGACAGCCGATTGTGAAGGAAAAAAAGAATATTTTTTTTTTTCAATAAAAGAAAGAATGAAGGAAATTTTCTTGTCAAATAATATTATCTGACAATCTGAATTAATCGATAAGGTTAGATAAACGCATTGAATCCATCTATGCCATGTTCCTTTTAATTTATCTTGCAATTTGTTGTAGATCGAGTTATTTGCAAATAAAAATGTTTGTATGAAGAGAAACATGAATGAAAAGACTTGGTTATGAATTGAATGAGTTTGTGTCCTCTGTCGGATGTATAAAAAATAAAAAGGAAGGCATAATGCTAAACGACGTTTGACATTTTTCCTGTAATCAACAATAATATTTTCGACACTCATATTGATTGTTTCTTTAAAATTTCCTTTTTCTTTACAAATAAATATTGTTAATTTGTTTTTTTCTTCAAATAGATTCGATTGAATAAAAATGAACGAACCTCTATCTAGTTGGGATCAACAAGAAGAAAATTCATCAATATCATGAACAAAAATAAAATTTGATGGATTAAATGTTAGTGCTGTTGAATTTGTTCCTTCATTTAATTCAAGATTTTCATTTGGTTCTAAAGCATCAAATGTTCAACAACGCCAATACCTAAAACTTCACCTTCAACACCAGTTATTGTTCAACATACACATGGAAACGAAGTCAATCAAGATGAACAAGTAACTATGAATACAAATCAAATTGAATCAACAACAAATGGAAGAAGATTTTTCAACTATAGAAGGAAATCAATTTATTGATGATGATGATGATAGTTTGTTTTTCATTATGTCAATATTTTAATTTTATTTTAATTTGTATATTTAGGAATAATGGATGATTCAACAGCAACAACAATACTAACAACAACAATAAATAAAACAAATATAGCTACTAGTTCAACAGTTCCAAAAGAAAAGAAAAATGTTGTTGTTAAACGAGATGTTGTACGAAAAAAAAGAACCTGTTAATATTGGCTTTTGTGGTCATGCTGATGCTGGAAAATCTACCATTGGTGGACAACTTATGTAAATTTTATTTTGTTTAAAGAAATTCTATAAAAAATTCTTTATTTTTTTCTTAGGTTTTTAACAGTACAAGTTGATAAACGAACATTAGAAAAATATCAAAATAAAGCTCGGGAAAAATCTCGTGAATCTTAGTATTTATCATGGACATTAGATACAAATGAAGAAGAAAGAGAACTGTTGAAGTTGGTCGACCGTGGTTTGAAACTGATACAAAACATTATTATTCTTGATGCACCTGGTCATAAATGTTTTCTTCCAAATATGATTGGTAAAGCGGCACAAGTAAAATTGCTATTCTTGTAATTTATTATTTTTTCGAAATATTTTCAATATAAAATTAAAATTTTAGATCATTTCTGTTCGTAAAGGTGAATTTGAAACAGGTTTTGAACGTGGTGGTAAAACATGTGAACATGCTATGTTAATTAAAACAGCTGCATGGTATTCGTTATTTAGTTGTTCTAATTAATAAAATAGATGATCCAACTGTTAATTGGGATCAAGCGAGATATGAAGAAATTAAAGATAGACTAACACCTTATCTTAAAAAAATGTGATTTTAAACCTGATGAAGCTACTATTTTTATGTCATGTAGTGGAATCAGTGGAGCGATACTGAAAGAACATCCTGGAGAACAAATTGTACCTTAGTATAAGTAAGGATTTATTTAGAGAAAATACTTAAATAAAATTATTTATTATTCACAGAGAACCAACTGTTATTGAATATTTGGATAGTATTCCATCATTTAATCGTAGTATTGATGGTCCACTTCGAATACCAATTGTAGATTGATACAAAGTTTGTGTTTTGTTTGTTTTTAAAACGAAAAATAAATGTTTATTGTAGGAAATGGGTACAATTGTTATGGGCAAAATTGCATCAGAATGTTGTGGAGTTGGTGATCGATGTGTAATTATGCCAAATCGAACACGTGTTCAAGTTACACATATTTATTATGAAGATATTGAAGCTGATTCTTGTGTTTGTGGAGAAAATGTTCGTCTTAAATTAAAAAATGTTAAGGAAGAAGTCTATTTTTTTTATTAATTATAATTTCTCATTAACATTTTTAGAAAACCTCATCTAGATTTATTCTATATGATACTCGACAAGAACCATGCAGAGTGGGGCGAGTCTTTGATGCACAAGTAAAATAACATACGATGCAAAAGTAATGGTACAAAATGTCGTCCCTTGAATTTTTCATAAACACGGTTTTGAGAAGAAAATTTTTTTACCATTTGATAGAGCATCTTCTCCTCTTTCAACCTGTATATTACTTATTTTTTATAAGACATGTATAAGCCAGAAGGCAATGGAAGAAAGAAGGATCTCTCTAAAACAGTTCCGCACTTTTCATATTTTCCGAAATAGCGATAAAGGGTGTCCCATAATAACCGGAGATAAATTGTTAATAGTATTTTTTATACTTTACTTTGGCGTATAGGCCTGAAATTTTTATCACATATATATCTAATCATGATCTTGTATTCCTAAAAGTTTCAACTCTTTAACTATATCTAGTGGTGAAATACATCGACAAGATTGAAATACATGAATTTTCGTACTTAATTTTTGCATTATTTTTGCTCTTCCAAATACTAAAAGAAGTTCCTTTTTCCATTTCCTTTTTCCACTACCTAATACACTGTATTAAAAAAGCGAAATATACCACAAGATGCAGCGTGAAGAACTCTACAATTTTCAAAGGACAGCTTATTTTATAGTTGCATCTTTTGTTTTCAAAATGGACAAACTTCTGTGCGACTAATTTTCGATGCTGCGAAAAAAAATCATCTTTTTAGTGTACGATGAATTTCTTTGCTTATTGCTTCGCTTAATGAGCCCTATGGAAAGCTATAATCGATGCCCGAATTGAGACCAGTCGATAGGTGTTCCAGTTACAACAATATGCAATGGAATAAAGTTAATGACAATGATTCATTAATTGATAAAATAAGCATAGAAATTCATCGTGCACTAAAAAGATGATTTTTTTTCGCAGCATTGAAAATTAGTCGCACAGAAGTTTGTCCATTTTGAAAACAAAAGATGCAACTATAAAATAAGCTGTCCTTTGAAAATTGTAGAGTTCTTCATGCTGCATCTTGTGGTATATTTCGCTTTTTTAATACAGTGTATTAGCTAGTGGAAAAATGAAATGGAAAAAGGAACTTCTTTTTGTGTTTGGAAGAGCAAAAATAATGCAAAAATTAAGTACGAAAATTCATGTATTTCAATCTTGTCGATGTATTTCACCACTAGATATAGTTAAAGAGTTGAAACTTTTAGGAATACAAGATCTTGATTAGATATATATGTGATAAAAATTTCAGGCCTATACGCCAAAGTAAAGTATAAAAAATACTATTAACAATTTATCTCCGGTTATTATGGGACACCCTTTATCGCTATTTCGGAAAATATGAAAAGTGCGGAACTGTTTTAGAGAGATCCTTCTTTCTTCCATTGCCTTCTGGCTTATACATGTCTTATAAAAAATAAGTAATATACAGGTTGAAAGAGGAGAAGATGCTCTATCAAATGGTAAAAAAATTTTCTTCTCAGAACCGTGTTTATGAAAAATTCAAGGGACGACTTTTTGTACCATTACTTTTGCATCGTATGTTACTTAGAACTCTTTAAACCATAAAAGTTGAAAGGACTTCAATATGTTCCGCAAATTCTGGTATTGGAGATGAACTTTCATTGGAACCAGTTTTTCACTGATCACTAGAAACATTCAATTTGTTATATTCTTCGTTGATTTGTCTAAATATTAAACTGAATGAATTTTTGTTTTTATTGAAAATCATCATTTCGAAGAACGAAATTCTATTCAGTAGGAATGTTTCCATGAGATTGTGTATAATTTTTCTCAAAAGAAAATACATGTTCTAAACTATCTTAAGTAAAATTCAATTGTATGAAGTATACAAAATAGATATGATGAATATGATACTTTACAATTATATGTTATCCATAAAGACTTATCTTCATAAATTTTTCTCATTGTCGAACAAACTTTAAACTCCTAAATATAAATGATGACGATATTAGTTTCTTTGACAAAGCAAACAATACTAAATTAGAAAGTTTGATCAATTTTGTTTTTTTCCATCTAATTTTCAATTTGGAACTATCACTGATAGTTGTAGTCTTTAATGAATGCTTCCTATATGGTCTCATCTATGAATGTTTTTTGTTAAAACCATTTATTTCCAATTGGTTACAAAATGAATCACGTTAATAAAGTAATTTTTCAAATTCACTTCACTGTTGTCTACATCAAAGCTATTTTTATCTTTAAGCAAACAAACATTTATAGATAATTATATTTTAAGAGCAACATTTTGTTTTTCTACAAAACATCTTTTCTTGATTGGTTGAAAAATATTAAGTGCAATTTTAATAAATTCCAGTGCTAATAGCTAACGAATAAAGACAAATCATCATGTATTTGTTAAATGATATGCTTTTATTCATGTAGGATAATGCTTTATTTATAGTGTGCATAGTTCAAATTTCAAGTAAAGTGTTCTTTTTTTTTATCCTATTTCAAATGACTCAAGATAATAATATTTCGAAAGAGAGTATTCATTTAATCAATTCATTTACTCATATCAATATCTAGTGATTCATGAAAATAATTTCGAGAAAAATCTGAATAATACACGAAATTTTTTCTTCAAGAATTGCAATCTTTATAATTTTGATGATGTTTTATAGTGTGCATGACAAGTTATTACTAATTCGACACTATGCAACTATTATTGAAGTCTGCCACCTACTTGTTAATGACAATTTATTATAAAGATGAATGCTATTAGTCATGAAAAGTACTCAAATGCTAGACAAATATTGTGTTTTAACAGTAGCCAATCCATTAGTTAATATTACTTATGCAAAACATTTTAAAATGAAAGGAATGAGGTATTTTCATTTTTTTTTTTTATTGATAAAAAAATAACTTAATCGTCATAATCGAGGTATTCGAAGAACTTAAGAACATTTCTTCTGGAACGTATGAAGTGATCCATAAAGAACATCTAGGTAAAGGTGAAGGGGCATCAAACATTTCTGAACGTCCAGACACTTACTAATGCTTGCTATTCTTGTTGCCACTTATTTGTCGTGGTTTGTTTTACAACTACTACAGGAAATCAGAGGGTACTGAACTATTTGAACTTTCAATAAACAGTCAAATGTAGAAACAAGATCTGTGCTCAATGGTGGGTGCAGGAATGGCAGTGAGTCTTCTTCTCAATCAAGCCGAGATCCACATCCACACTGTAGTTGGCAAATAAGGATCCAATTAGGGATGGGGCGAACTCAGAAAAAAGTTAAGTTGGAAGGACACCAAAATATTCTATGGTTTGATTAAAAAATGTTCATTTCGAAATATGTTTATCAAAGAGATCTATATATTGTGCTATAGTTTTTGAATCTTATGAAAAGTGTGAAGCTTTTTTAAAGAATGTTACTCTTTTCTGTTGCATCGTTTCGTAAAAAAAAAACTTTTCTGTCGCCAACTTTCAATTGAAGAGATATAGGAATTAACATTTTGTTTTATTACTTATACATTACATATAGAAGTGTAAACCGATGCATTGATTGACGGCGGCTGAAATTGTTCGATGAATTTTTTTAAAAATTTTCTTCTTTTTGAAATGAAGAAAAGAGAAAACAATGGTAGAGAACTTATTGACAAGAAGCCAGACGGTAACATCTTCAAAAACTGATTTGGAATGTCGAGAGATTTTGAAAAATCAAATATCTATTTTTGTGTTGCGGCTGACTTGCTTAAGCATGGCGGTTCATGAGAGAGAGGCTCTTCAGCTGTCCCCTTACAATTTCAATGATTTTTCGTCTGTGAATACTGCATGGTGTTCTAATAAGAATCCTAAAAAGATTTGGGTTTTGACTAAGTTAATGAATTTTTTTCTAGATGTTTCAGATTTACTCGTATTTTCGAATACTTTTAACTTCTTAATGGAAGGTCGTAGAAAAAAGCAACGACCCCTCATTTTGTGCTCCTGGAAATGGCATTTTAAAAATAGCTTCTGGAACCTGATAACTACCGTGTTCCGTTTTTTTAGAAACCTTGCCGTCATAGTTCATCTATGAAATCTTGGCATAGAATGCATGAGATAGGAAACTCTATTAGCTATTAAGATCTAGAAGGATAATTGGTTAACACTATAGAACAAAATATCAAAATACGTTGCTGTTAAATTTTTTTTCTATCGTCTTGTATAAATTAGATAAATAATTATTTGTATAGCATAATCAAAATTTTCTTTTTTGTTTTATTTTGTACATTTGAAGCGAACGAACAAAAAAAAACGCAGAAAATGTTTATCTGAGACCCGTTTTAACTTTATCTTTCATTTTTTTTTTAACAATATCCATATTTCGTTCTCGCCATGTACTTTTTCGTAATTTAATCGGTCGATTACCAACATATTTACCTATTCAAACAAAAAAAAAATAGACAAATTAATAATAATAACAATATATAAACAATTTTACCATTCATTTCACGCATTGCTCGAATATAATCTTGTGAATCTTTAAATGAAATAAAACCATAGCCACGTGTTTTTCCTGATCGTTTATCACGAACAACTTTTGCTTTTTGAAATGTTGGATATTTATTAAAAGCTCGTGTTAATACATCATCATTAACTTCATTACCAAGATCACCACAAAATAAACGAAAATCATCTAAAAAAGAAAAATAAAATTCAATTTTGATTTTAAAATAAAAGAAAATGAATCAAATTTATTTTTATTACCTGCATCCCATTCAGCAAGTGTTTCATCTTCCCAAGTTGTACCACCAGCCATACGAACATGACGAATTTTTTTTGGTTGTTTAGTTTTACTTTTTTTTTTTGTTGTTGAACTACTTTCATTTTCATGATCTAATACAAAATAAATAAATAAATAAATAAATATTTAAGAAAGAAAAATTATTTTCTTTTTTTTTGTTTTTACCATTTGATTCCATGGATTGTGATGATGAAGCAAATGCTTTACTAACTGGATGAGGATTTTGTTCAAGTTTAGTAACTGATGGTTTATCTAATTTTGATGCAGAAGGTTTATTTTCTATGATTGGTGTTTGTGAAGGACGTTGAGAAGTTGGAACAGTTGATTCAGATTGTTGAGTTGTTTTTTCATTATTTGTTTGATTTTTATAAAGTAATGGTTGAGCTGACAGTGTTGATTGTTGTTGTTGTTGAGGAGGAGGAACAGTACCTTGTGATGATGATGATGATGGTGGTGGTGATGGAACTCGTTGAGGAATCGATGGAGCCATTTGTGTTTGACGCATTGATGATGAAGGAAAAGGTACTGATTGTTGTGGAACACGATGACGAAGTTGATGAGGTACAAAAGCAGGTCGAGGTGGTAGACGAGTTGGTGGAGGAGCAGAATTATTAGTATTCAATAATTGAGCCATTACACCTGGTGGTGGTGGTGGAAGTGGTGGTAAACCTGGCATTATTGGTGGAAACATTCCAGGTGGTGGTGGACCAGATGGCATTATAGGCATTCTTGGTGGTGCATTGACGGTATTTACATTTGAGATTTCGTTCTCGAAACTAAAATTACAAAAAGAAATAGTATTGATATTTTAAATGACTGTTTGTTTTTTAATTACTTACCGAGACATCTCAGCATCAAAGTTATTCAACGCCATTTTGACACTTCTATATGAAATAGAAACTATGAATAGTTTAATTATGAAATAATAAACAAATGTTGGATAGAAATATCTATGTAAAATCAATTCGAAAAATAGATGAATTTCATTGTTTCTTTCTTCATTCCATGTTATACGCAAGTCTGTCAATGATTGGAACAATTGAAATACTATGAGAGCATTGTAGTACTTATAGCGACAATATGAGAGCGCTAGTATTCAGTATGTAAAAGGAAATATTTCATAGAAAAGGAACCAGAATTTGCAAGATTTTGGAGAAAATTATTAATTGTAATTAAATTGATAATTTTATAAAATTATTTTAGATTACTTGAAAAATTTTTTGAAGTTCATAATAAACATGACAAAAATGTGCCAAATCATTGTAATATTAATCGATCACTCGTCTTCCAGTTTAAACAATATATTGCTATCAGCTCTAATTCAATTTTACTATTTTTCAAGGATGATCCTCCCCTCAATCTCGGGAAAGCTTTCGTGTTTTTTGCTCACCAATCTTTGTAACAAGAGTCAACTCTTTTCACAATGTCGTGAACTTTACCTTCTAAGTAGTCACTCCCCTCCCCCCTCGCCCACTGTAGATGAACTCGTCGAACTTGACATTTATATTACTGATAATCTGTGTTATTTATTATTTTGTTTGGTTTTAAGTTTTAGACCATTTTGGAGAGAAGCGAGATTAATTTATTCACTAGATATTCAAAAAAATATAATTTAAAACTAAAAAGAAATGTTCTATAGTTCAAAGTAAATAATAAATCTATTTCGTAGTAGAGCTTTGAACTTTATCATCTAATTAAAAATGAGTTCTGCCTAAATTCAACTTTATTTGTAACATATATTTGCTTTTTCTTTGTATCATTTTTGTTAGCAAGTATTTTTCATCTTTCTAATTTTTTTTTGTTATTAATAGTATCCATTATATGTTAAGATGGTGATGATAGAACCCCCACAGATTCATGACTTTTTACATTTATTTCCTGTAACGAATGCACCAGTAAAATAATAAATCAAGATGTTTCTACATTTTCTTGTATTTATAATATTAGTCATTATTGAAACTTTAATTTTTGTATTTCAAAATATTACGAAACAAATTTGCTCTAAGATAACTAATCAACTAATATGTAATTTGGTGATCGAATGTCAAAATAAGGATTCTTACTGTTCTGTTCTACCATCCGCTAGAATGAAGTAAGGCAGTAGGACAGGATAGAAAAAGTTGTCATGTATCCATCTCTAATATGAACCGAAAAACTCTATTGTAGTGATATAAAATAGAGGAAAAGTTCTATGAGAAGTTTGATTCTTTCGATAGAAGGAAAATCTCCGAATCTCGAAAGAACTCTCTACAGGCATCTAACATTTGATTTTGCAAGCGTTTCAAATTTCCCTAGTGAACTGAATGCCTTCCAGCTACACCATTAGTATACCGCCTATTATCCATGAAGAAAAGATCGTTACGTTTTCGTTTCGTTTATTAGTTCTTTATAATTATCATATTACTATGCTTGTTATTACTTTCTTCATTTTTTCATTAAAGGTATTTTCTTAATCGCACAGTCTAAAATCGATCATCGTTATTACACTTGTTTCACATGAAAACTACTATTGAGGAGAAAAAAAGCAAGATAGACAAGCGATTAATTCAAATATGATGTTAAAAAGCAGTAGCAAAAAAGAAGACGATGGACATTCAGTATTAATATAAAGAAAAACAACTCTAGATGATACTGATAATCATGATTGACATTTTTCATTTCGTCTTCAGTGAATAGAAACATTTTAAAGTTGTTTTTTTTTGTGACTAACACTAGTGGTAGATCAATTCTATTTCTTGTTTAAGCTAACAGCAACTATTGACAAATTATAATCTTAATGATATACTTCATACCGACAAATTTTCAATATTATTAAATAGATTATGTTCGTGTGATTGGACATTATGACTTAGTTATGCGTTGTATCATTTTTGATTTGTACGATAATTCATATCATTATCTTATCAACAGAATTTCTTTCGCTTGATCGTGTTAGTATACAAACACGTCATTCAATTACATTGATCATCAACCCCCCACACACGTATGTTGTGTTATATTCATCTTACTTTATTGAATTGTTTAATCTATACCAACATTATGTGGCTAAACTCTATTATTCCTGTTCACTCTGACAAAGTTTTAATGTAGTGCAAAATTTGGATAGTATCACAAAATAACACCTCTCTGTAATGATAAACATGTTCATATTATTAAAATGTATAATTAAAAAATATTGATAGAGAATTGTAATTACATTAAAGACGTCAGATAAAACCAGGTAGTATTCAGGATACGTTCCCTTTTCGTGTACCCAATATGACTAAATTTTTAATTTCAGCATCGTTTCGTGCATTCGCTACATTTAATAATGCTTTACTTCCAGATTATGCGTTAAAAGCAGTAAACACGTTTACAGCTCTTTCAATCTTTGGTATGATACATGTCAATATTAAGCATTTTCTGTCAATAGCTAATGATACGCTTAAGGATGCATCACCAATATCAATCAGAATAGACTTACATTACGTTCCAAACTAAAGAATAAGAATAAGAGTCTTTATTATTCTATGTCTTTGATTAATCAATAACAAAAAGAAAATATTATTCTGTCTTAAATATATTTTTCACGTCAAGAATACGATGTTTTGTTCATCATTACTCAATATAATCCTTCAAACAAGTTTATTTATGGGTGTTATCGAATCTATAAGTTCTAGGAAATAAATTTCCTACTATTCATGATAGAATAAACCTTAACAAATATATCCATGATAAAATATTTTTCTTAATTTATTGATTAATAAACTACGATAGAGAAATATAATTCATGTATGTTGTGTTGATGTTATATAGTTAGAAATTTTATAGTGATTGGTACAAGTGGTATTTATTTAAATAGTAGACAAAAAGCGGAAGTATTATTCGCTTGTGCTTTATATGCTAATCTTGATATTTATTCACTTGATGACTTTTTTTTTCTCGCCTCTATGGATCGCACAAGTAGCCAAATAAATCTATGAACGATGCATTAATTCATATAGATTATTGAAAAATAAAATTCTTGTTTTAATTACACATTAAATAATATTTCCTTTATGTAAAGTTACTAAATATCGAATAGAATGTAACATACTAAGCATACACACAGCATAATAATAAGGATGATAGCGAAATTTTTAAGCAATAAAGAATTCCATTTTCGATATTTAACTATTAAAACTATGTTAGGTGACATGATTAGCTTAGCTTACGATTGAAATAATCACAGATAAATGAACTATATTTACTACTAGAATAAATATAAATCTATGTTAGTTTGATCAGAACAATAGTATTTACATATATTGTTTATCTCAGCTATCATCTTACATGGATCGTGTAGTCTTTATAATAATATATTTAAAGGACTTTTATAGACATGAATATCATTCTTTGAGAGCTATTCAAGTAGTAAAGTACTTAATCGACTGAGTCAAGTTCAATGAGTCATATAGCGAAGTGTTACATATAATTCAGTTGAACAGCGTGGTAACATTACTGTTGACAATCGGTTCCATGTTCAATATTTGTTATGTCAATTCATCTGTCTTATCGTTATGTAGTATCATTATTTTGACTCATAATTTATGTTTATTTAATCGACTTGAAGATAAATTTATGCACTTTTCTTATGATTTTCCAATATTTTAGTAGCTGTTCGTGTATTTAAAGCTAAAGATATGTTCATATAATTATCTACTGGTAGAATTGATGCTAGAACATATGCATAAATTAATAAGTAGATTATTCATTTAATATAATGTTTTGAATAGTTATATTGATCATTAATATTGGAGTGATATTTTTCATAACGAAATACGTTTTTTTGGTTGAGTATGTCTTTCTAATTAATAAAATCAATTAACAATAGTATTTCACGTTAACTCTTGTTTTTCTAGCAATAGCAGATTAAAAAAAAAGTGTTTTAATTAGCTGGTACTTAGATGTTTTTTATTAGGATTCATCTGATCGAGTTGATTTTCAAATAAATAGACAAAAATTTATCATAAGATATCTAATGTTAGATAAACTTATTTATGGCAATATATATACATATTATATTGAAAGAATATTTGATATAGGAACCCATTAATTTAGATTTTGTTATCAATGATTCAGATAATAAGAAATATATTTGTCGTACCAAAAACTATAAATAATAATGAAAAAAAAAAGAAACAAACTTATCTTTTAACATTTTTCGTCGATAATACTGTAGAAATTAAATTGATGCTTGCCAAAACGTTCATGAATAACATTTATCAATTAAATATGTTTTGTTGTTCTTACAACATTCATTTAATTTCATTGTTCAACTTCAAAAGAATCAATTTGTTACAGTATATTTTACAAATTCTTTTTTTTTTTTGTTAGTAATTTAGTCTTAAATCATAAAATCGACTTCTCGTTATGATGAGTAATTGAACACATAGGTATATATCATAGCTTGAACTATTCATTATATATTATTATATGATATTCTACGATCGCGACATTATTGCTTTTCAAAGTAGTACTCATATAATAATTATGAAGTATGTGTAAAAATATAGATATACATTAAATAATATCTATTACAATGTTTATCAGTTTATAGTAAAAATAATTATGATAAAATCTTACTCTTAGAAACATGTTATAGTAATTTTGATGATAATTTTTTTGGTTTTAAATAATAATATCTCTGTTTGGAGTTTTTTCCTATGTAGATATATTTTATATTGTTTGTCCTTTATTTTTACCATTTGTTCTCATCAACCAGATGCTTTATTTCACTCAAGAAAGTTTACAAAAAAACTACAATATTATACAGATACATTTATCATGATGAATGCGATGGTCATAATTCTTAATCATTGATTTTATTATTTTTTATATTCAAGATTTTTACTTTTTCTATTTAATGTTTTCGACGGTTATATTTATTTTAACCGATAAAACAATTGAATATATCCATATATTGATGATAAATTTATCTTAGAATTATTGGAATAATTCAAAGAAATCAACAGAAAAATATTTTTAATTAATTTAATAATTTACAATAGTTTCAATCTCTTCATAAATCAACAAAATATGATATTATTAACAAGTCATCAACGGTAGAATTCTATACAACTGATCATAATATAAGAGAAAAAAACAATTCAATCAATATATGCATACAAACGAAAGAAATATATATTTCAGAAAAAAAAGGCGACATTAATATTTGCAATTCTATCGAAAGATGACACAATTCTTGGTTTTTTGATTGTAATATCAGGAACATTTCAATAAATATTTCTCAATTGTAATGACGACAGATCTTTTTTTCTGTAGAAAACAAAAAATAAAATGAAAACATCATCTAATCAACAAATAATTTGACATCAACGATTATGCATTCTTATAACCCCTCTAAAGTCGATCTATCTTGTGTATTCATAAGCACCGTCGACCTAGATAAGGCATGCTTCGTTTCTCTTTCTTCCTCTTTCATTTGATAGTATAACGTCATGCCCGTCAAAGCCATGAGAAATTCATCACCCCCATCGCCTTCATTGCAATGCAAACGCATTGGCCTCGTCATTTTCTTTCTCTCTATTCTATGGCAGCTGCCACTACTATTACTGCTTGCCCGAAAAGCAATTTGCTACGGAGGCAGCAGCGGCAGAATCGAGAGACGTAGTATGTAAGCAAGCATCGTTGTTGTCCTCAGCGTTCGTTCTCTATGCGTCGTCTGCTCGCGCACACATACAACACACCCATATACACAGCCATTTAAAACACAACATCTAATCTATCAATCGAGCTGTGTATATATGTGCGGAGAAAGAAAAAGAAAGCTAGATACACACACACACACACACACACGCACACACTACTTGAAACAATGATGCACAAACATTCGCCCGTCGATGGCAAAGAGCAATAAGCGAAGGAGAAGGAAGAAAGAAAGAAAGAAAGAAAGAAAGAAAGAAAGAAAGAGAAAGACATTAGAACGACTACCCTATTGCTTTGTATACAGCAAAGTGAAGAAGAAAGAAAAAGAAGAAACATAGCAGTGTATGGCTGCAGTGGTTCATAGACAGCGAGAGAGAGAATAAGAGAGTAAAAGCAAGCACAGCAAAAGCGCTTGCTTCACTCGTAGTAAAGCACATACACGTATACACGTCTCTCCCTTTTACATCGAAACTAGCGACTCGCTAGTTACTTTTTATTCGACCTCTGTCGCCCTCTTCCACACCCGCCAAAGCCAAAGTAAGCACAGTTTTTCCTTGTTCTTCTCGCGCTTGTCAATCTTATACATACACATACATATAATACATTTGTCATTTTCACAGAAATGAAAAAAAAAAATCATAAATTTTTTTTTGCTCTAGAAATAAAAAGAATTAATTAAAAGAGAAATTCTAACAATGGGACGTACAACAAAACAAAAAGATCCTAATGCACCAAAACGTCCATTATCCGCATTTTTTATATTTTCACAAGATGAAAGACCAAAAATCAAAGTACAAAATGCATCATTATCAGTAGCTGATGTTGCTAAAGTTATCGGAGAAAAATGGCGTTCAGCACCTGATGATTTAAAACGTCGATATGAAAAAGCAGCTAAAGAAGCTAAGGAACGTTATGAACTTGAAATGCAAGCATATAAACAAACAGGTATAGATGAACATATTAATTTATTATCATTTCTTAGAAAAAAATTTTCTTGCAAATTTTTTTTTAGCTGCATATGCACAATCGGTACAACAAAATCAACCAAAAGCTCGAGCTTAAAAGGAAAAAAAAGAAACAAAATTAATCTTGCTTATCAAGAATGAACATATATATTTATTCACTTATATATACTTTTTTTTTCATTGTATTATCATTTGTTTTGTTTTCCTTATTCGATGTGTAGTATTGTTTCTTTATAACTTGATGTTTTGTTTTTTGTGTGCGTGTGTGGTTCTATCTATCAGATAAAAGATTTGTACTGTTGTTGTATAGAAACCAACATAAAAAGAAAAAAGAGAAATTTTACTCATATAAAACTTTTCCCAAAAAGAAAAAAAAAGATGCTTATTGTTTTACAACTATTCTCTTGATTATATGTTCAGTTTTTTCATTCTTGTATGCATACTTGTTTTTGTTCGAAGATACATATATTTGTGTGTGTGTGTATATGTGCGTTTTTATTTTTGCTTTCAAAAAAAGAAAATAAAACATTTCTATCTTTTCGATAGATTGAAGTAAAACAAAAACAAATGTTAAAAAAATCCAGTACAAAAGTTAGAAAAAGATAGCTCGTCTATTGAATATCACAGTAAAACCAATTTATTCCAAAAAAAAACGATATATTACAGTATGATGCATGAACGACTTCCTGTTGGATTCTTAAGTGAAGGCAAATGGCTGTCATTTGATGGTGCATTAACATTAACATTTTTGGAAGCTGTCAGTTTTCCAACAAGACCATCATTGGTTCCGAGTGGAATCGGATGAAAATGTAATTCCTATATAAAAGATTAAAGAAAATTCTTTTTTCTTTTGAGTTTGAGTCAAATAAAATATTTACTTCTTCTTTTTTTGTGCTAATACGATTTGCATGAGCGTGTAGTCTATCTTTCCAAACTGGTGCTGAATCTAAATAATCTTTATGCATTTTAATCAAAATCATTTGATTTGTTTCACTAAAGTAAAATAATATTATTCATATAATAAAAAAAAAAACCAATCTATATAAGATATTACTTTCGATATTTCTCCATAACTTGATCTAAAGCTGCTTTATTTTTCTCAAGATATTGTCGTTCTCGTTCCGTAACAGCAATTTTTCTTTAATATACAAAACAAATATTGATAATAAATGATATTAAATGAAACAAAAAATGAACTATTAGGTACATACTCATTTTCTGCTTGAATTGTTGCATCAAGTTTTTTTTGAAGAACTTGTTCGTCATCATGTAATTTTTTAACTAAATCTTTTACATGTGTAGATACTTGTTCTTTTATTGTTTTATACTCTTGAATACGTCCCGTTCGACTAGTATTTAATGCTTCTAGAAAACAAAATTGAAGTTTTTTCTTTTTTTTCCTTTTTTTTTTAGATTCGAAAGAAAACAAAAATACATACGAGCTAAAACAATAAGTTCATTAGTTGTAGTCATTAAACTAGTAATTGATTTATCAACTTCTTTTTTTTGTGATTCATAATGTTTTGTTCGACAATCAGCACATAATGGTTTTCCACAATGAAAACATGGACGTAAATCAGTTGTATTTCGACATTCACTACATGCAGCTACAATTGTTGCTGGTGCATCATCAGTGATAACAGAATACGGTTCACCGCTATTTTAATAGAAAAAAATGGTTTTCTTTTAGATATTTGTTTGAAATAAACAAACAATTCTTTGAACGTTAATCGAAAGTGAAAATATCAACAAGCCAGCTATCTTTCAATCACAGATTTCGTCCGTACTGATAGGTTTTATTAAAACTTTGAACAAGTCTTTCATGTAGAGTTTATAAGAATTTTTAATTCTTCGTGTTTTACTTCCCATATTTTTACTTTCGACTCAAGAACAAATCTTCATGAATGTTCACTTGCGATTTCAATAGTTTTTTTGCCTATGGAGTTCTAATATAAAAAAACTGGAAGAATTTGAGTTCCTATTGAGATTTAATTAAGCTATCGAATTTTTTTCCAGAGCTTCTAGGTTATCGGAAACTGATATTTTCGAATTTTTTGCATATAGAAAATTTAACTAGACTAGCTTTAATAAAGTAAAAGATACAATTGTAACCCATTGCGTATTAAAGCACCAACTTTCTCGCAAAAATCAATGTTTCATGTTTGAAAATTCGAAATTTTGTACTCTTTGACTTTTCAACTAACTGATTTTGGAAATATGCTCTATATACATCGATGCAGAATCATTCATAAAGCTAGTTTTGACTTATTCTTATCATTCTGTTATATGACAACTGAGAATTATTTATGAAACCCTACACATGTATTTTTTTTACTTGATAACAGATAAAATTGCTTTCATAATACCAACAATAATACCTAACATTAATATTTGCTTATCTTATCCGTAGGAAAAAAAAAACTTTGAATAAACTTCTATCAATAACCAAAAAAAAATCAACCTATTCGATTGAGCCGATGCGAAAACATTTCATTTTCTTTTTTATTGTAGTACTATTTATAGCCCACACTGTATGCCATGAAGTATAAAGACAAAACTAAAATGTTCGTAACGTTTGAAAGAAATGATAGGAACCGAAATCCTTTAAAGATTTTTATTAGAAACCTATAGGCAAAAAAATCATTGAAACTGGAAGAGGACATCTGGGAAGATTCCCTCGTAAGGCATAGATTATCGAACAAACCTATTTAAGCCGATGACATATGTGGCTAATTTGTCCTGTGAAGCTGATGAAAGTGATGCAGCTAATGCAGTATGTTCGGTGCCACATATTGGACAAATGATTTTGTCATTTTGAATTTCTTTCTTCAAACAATCTGTACAGTATGAATGTCGACAAACTAATTCTAATGGATTATTTAAATCTTTTTTGCAATAATGACATTGTACAAATGACTCCATTTAATAATTTTCTTTTATTAATTACAAAGAATAAAAATAAAATATAGTTATCAATTTATTAAATTTACATACCTTATGGTTATTTTTTTTTTTTGTTTTATTTTAGTATCTTTTATTAGTTGCTTCGATGCGAATAAGTAATTTTATTCATTCAATTGATCTTATTGTAAACTATTTATATAGTGCACAATGCTGTCATGAGTTACATGTCGTCAATATTTTTGTCCTTTTTTTCACATAAGGAGAGAAATAAGTTGAAAGAGTTGAAGAGAAAGAGAGAGAGAGATGACAATATCTTGAGTGTGTGATCACATGTATAGCGTGATGAAGTTTATGTTTAAAAATCTAATGAAAAAAAAAGTCTACTGTTTATACTTTACAGAAACGTAATACATCTCAAGCCAAATTCAAGGATTTTTTGAAGGTATCTATTGTAAAGTTGATTTCAACTTCGTTTGTTCTGATTTTGAGTCGAATTCAATGACTTCTATCGATTTCAAGAGTTATATTTTTGAAAATACTACCTCTATTTCAAAGAAAAAATGCAAATTATTGCACAAAAAAAGACATCGAAAAAAAAAAAAGTATTCCGATTCATTCCTGAGCCGATTCTGACAAAAAAATCAATGATGATTTTAGATAGAACTCTCATTAAACAAGTCTACAAACTATTCAGTGATTGTATGCATGTTAATCATACATCGACTCATGCCATATGAAGTATTCGAAGTGAATTAGTATCAACTATTCCTATTGTTTCAATTTTAATTTTGATGAAAAATTCATAAACATAAATTTTTATAGATATTTCATGTAATTACTGAAAATAAGTTATTTGATTTGAATTTATATAAAAATAGCAATTGTACAAAAGATCAATGAGTAATTCTGTAGTTAATATTTTATTATCGATAAAATAATAATCTTAAAAAAGTGATCAAAGATTGTAATGTCAATAAATAATTAATCAAAAATAGATTATTTAAGACATGTTTTAATATTTATTCGTATACGGTTATAACTTTTCCTATTTGAAGGTATCGTTGATAAATTTTTTTTTTTTTAGTATTAAATTCAATTCTACCAAATGATCTTGAACAGAATTCGATTAGTTGTTCTTGCACTTGACAAACTATTTCAATTTTTCAGGCTTTTATTTACTGATTTTAAAAGCATCTACGACACTTCGATTGTTAGTTTTTTATTTCAAAAGTTCTATTTCTTTGTTCCATAATTATATATTTTTCATTTGTTTGTAACTAAATTAAAGCCAAGGTCAGGTCAATCTTATAATTGTGAATATGTGTGTGAAGGTTTTCTTTTTTTGCATTCAAATAAAACTAAAATTTGTCTGTTATACACTCGATTTTTTCTTTATACACTATGTCATCATTATGAATATTGAATAATTAAGAATATGATGTCATATTCGGATCTGATTAGGTATTTTTTTTTAATATGAAAATTCAACTGACAACTTTGTACTCAAATTCATACTCCGAACTTAGTTAAGTATTGAATATCTTAGTCGAATTGCAGAACTTGAGTCTTGGATATCAGAATTAGCGACAATGAAATTATTAATTTTTAATTGTAGAAAAATGGAGGTAATTTCAAGATAAAAATTGAAAAACACGGTTTTTCTGAAAATCTGGACTCATACAGGTACATCTGACAAATAGACGTATTAGAAATAGAAACTCAATAGCTTCATCTTATATAATGAGAATAGATCACATACTAATTTCGATAAAAAAAAACGTCTTTGTTGAAAAGAAGTTCTTTGCTTCGACAAGAAACTTATAAAGACTTAGTGGTAGCTTTGACTCTAATATTTGAGTTTAGCATAATGCATTGCAAATAGTTATGTATGTTTCAAAGAACAATTGATTGAACAGTCCATATGATTTTCTCTTAAGTTAATTCGAAAAGCTATTGAAAAAGTCTAATATTCTGTTCATCTCAATATTATGATGAATATTATGTATAGTGTTTTTTTGTAGTCACTTGTAGTATAAATAAACTAACTGACTCTGTCAGTTCATACCTGTAACACCTTATTATGTATGAAAAATTTTTGTGATATATTATATGAAACTCTTTTATAATAAACGATCACAATTATCTTTAAATAATATAATATTGATTTTCTTAATTACAGATAGTGCTAATTAAAACTAATTATTAAAAATTGTATTGTTATCTACAATATCATTATAATTTCATAATTAAATATATTTTATTTCAAAGACACGGGTTATGAAATAACAGAACGTTCGTATACATAACAGTTCATGGTACCTAATCCAAAATGTTTATTTTTGCTTTCCCTCTCGTCGACCAGCGATATTAATATGAACAAAAAAAAACCATCGTCATATCGATAAAGTTTCTTCTTCAGTGAGAAACAACAAACATTAACCTTGTTAAGATGTAGTATGATTTCATGAGTCAATTTTTGAAGTTTGTAACTATTTCAGAACTTTTTCTTCATTCATTTTGATAAAGTCTTAAGTATATGCTCGAAAATGGACTGTAATAATAAACATAGTCAACTTAACTGACATTCAAATTAATATCTACGAGTAACTTGATATCAGTATATTTATGAAAAGTAATTTTTTTTCAACTGGTATTTCAAACCTAATATGAAGATATTAACGAAATTGTAATCGAATCATTCACAGAAGAATATATATTCAAAATAAATAAATTTAACTTTCATTTATTACGAAATCAATGATTTGAAAATTATATTAAATAAAATTTTTAAACAAATTTATCAATCAGTTAAATGAATAGTTTCTGGTGGCGCCATCAGTTTGTTACCTAGGAAACGGAAGTATTGTTAATTTTAAATGGCAATCATTCTAATATTTCTTTTAAAGAAATATCTGAATTGAGCTATGCAAGTAAGTAAATTAAAATCTAATGATAACATCAAATATAAATATGTCTTTTAATATTGATTATAGAATTCAACTGCTCCAAAAGCAACTATTGTCGTCTGGTATATAGAAAAAAAAAGAATTTCAAAGACATATCCTTCATTTCTATTTTTTATGTTTAGGACAGATCTTTCTCGTGATCAAGTAAGAAAATTAGAAGAATTAAATGATGCAGAAAGTATAAATAAGTAGGGTTTTCAATTTCCGATGTTGTAAGCAAAAAAATAAATCATATAATTATTTTAGTTTTTTTATAAAAATTTTCAACCTTGAACCAAATACTAAGCGTACAACAATTTTATGTGATCTATATTATTATGCATTAAATTTTGCTCGTACAAATAGATTTAATCATGAACAAATCTCAACATTTATAAGTATTCTTAAACGTGTTCATGAAATGTGTATTCGTATGTCATCTAATATATACTTACAAATATTTTTTATTCTTTTTAAAAATTAATTTTAGAAACACCATTTGCAAATATGGAAGAAGCTTATAAATATTTCAAAGAACTTATTTTAAAACATTCATTTTCTGTAAGTATTTACATTTATCAATTATTTTTTTCAGATATTTATATTCATTTTTCCTAGAGACCACCACAGAGTTTACGTATATTTACAGCAGATGGAACTAAAAAAGTAACTGATTATATTGTTGATACTTATTTTCGTCATTATAAAATGTATAAATTTATTTTTACTCCAACAGTAAATAGATTTTTATTTAATAATAATAATAAGATAAAATTGTCTTTTTTTTTGTTTTTTAGATTGATTTTAATTTGCAATTTACTTATGAAGGAATGACTGGGGCAATACCGAAGACAGAAGAAGAAGAAAAAGAAGATGTCAATACAGTTAAAGATAATGAAGAAAAACAAAGTCAACAACAAGAAAGTAATATTAAATATGAATGATATTTTTTGAATCATAATTATTTATTAAATTTATTTCTATAGAACATGAGGAAAATTCTCAATTGACTGATGTTCGTAAATTAATTCAAACATATGTGAAAGATGAAATTCAAAAAATACAAAGTACTACTAATGAACAAGAAACATTACGTCCACCAACGGAAAAACATCGATCAATTAAATCAAGCAGTACGAAAACTTCTAAATCACAAGCACCAAAATAAAGTTATACTCGAAATATGATGGCTACATCAGTAACATTGAAGAGACGCTTGATATTTGTTTGTTTTTTTAATAGTTGAATAATGAATAATGACTTGAAGCAAATAATTGTGATTTTATCGATCGACTATCATTTGTTTGTCGAATATAAATTGATTCGAACATATCAGAAAAAATATCTTCATCATAATTTAATGTTTTTATCAATAATGAATTTGTATCAATAGAATTTGTCGTTTGATGATATGGATTTGATTGTTGACAACGAAATTTCATATCCATTGGAAGAGTAACATTAGGAATAGTATCATCTTGATCGTAGACAATCAAACCTCTGAAATAATAATATTCAATATTTGTTTTCTTTTTTAAAAATTTCTTTTAACAATCATTTTTTCCTTTTTTTTTTGTAAAAAACATGATCTAAACGAAGTGTTGAAGTTTACAGATAAAAATATGAACTCAAACCGATATCTAAGTTCAGAAATATTTGTGCTAAATGTGTTGATCAACTTTAGATAGACGAATACTTTGACAAAGTTTTAGCGAATCTGAATTCTGTCTAAGGATGTCGTGCTCATCTTACTAACGAGGGAACCTCTCTTCTAGTGCCCGTTGCAATTTTAATAATTTTTTTGCCTATAGATATTACATAGTGTTCTGATAAAAACTCGAGATGGATTTGGGCTCCTATTGATATTTGACTGAGCTATCGAATTTTTTTAGAGGCTTCAGGTTTTCAGAAAACTCGTATTTTAGAATTTTGATCTGAAATTTTGCGCATATAGAGAAGCCGACTAGACTAGCTTCCATAAAAAAATCCAGAAATTCTGAACAAAGTCTCTTCGAGATATGAGATTTTCAAGGTATAAACCCTTTTCCATGGATGTCGTATACAACATTCATTTTTTGAAAACTTCATATCTCGAAGAGATTTTGTTCAAAATTTCTGAATTTTATTATAGAAGCTAGTCTAGTTGAGTTCTCTATATGTATAAAGTTTCAGATTAACATTCAAAAATTCGAATTTTCTGAAACCTGGGACCTCTAGAAAAAAAACTCGATAACTTATTCAAAACTCAAATCTTTTTAAGTTTTTTATTATAACACTATGTAGTATATCTAGACAAAAAAAATCATTGAAATCGGAAGAAAGCATCTGAAGAGGATCCTTCGGGAAATTTACACAAAAACTTAAATTTTTTAACGACAAGCATGCGCTTCGCATTAAGTTTTGATTCGTTGGCTTTCCACTCCACTTGATATTGGTAACAAAAATTTTTATACCAACAGATAGAGCATATCTTGAAGAATATTTACTACCACTTGAATTGATGAAAAATTCACTTTCGTTTTTTCACCTAATGTTCGCTTTGGATGCATACTGTTTTCCCTTTCCCTCAGACCGTAACAGACATTGCTGACGTACGATCAAAGACTAGAGGATTAAGTAAAAGGATGGTGAAGAAATATTCCTCAAAATAGATAGAATAAAATAATCTCTCTGTGATTAGTAAGAGCATCTATACCATCTTCCATATTTTAATTCCCGCGAGATTACGCTAAAAGCTTTAATTTACATAGATTTTATTATTTATAAGAATTGCTTTCTTTACATACGGAACACATTCATTGATTGTTTGATTAATATATTTAAGAATTGGTTGTCGTTGTTTAGCAAGAAAATTAAAACGACGTTGAAGTAATATTTTGAAACGTTTCTTTTTCATTGATTTTTGTTTCTTAATACAAGCTAATGTAAACATACGAAATTCAGAATAATCAAGTGCATGATCACCACTTATATCAAAATCATTAAATATAATACGGATTTCTCTATTATCAAGATTAAATAAAAATCCAAGACGTTGAAATTCTTCAACTGTTATTGTACCTGAACTATCTTCATCAAGTAATTCAAAAACAGTTTTAGAATGAGCATGCATAAATTCTTTTTCTTTTTTATCCTATGGAAAAATATTTATGAAAGAAAACAAAAAAAAACAACTATTTCATCGAAGTCTATACTTTATTAGCTAAAAGTAAAGTGATTAGAAGAAAAAATTCTCCTAATTCCATAGCACCAGATCGATCGAGATCTATATTCAAAGAATATTTTACTATCAGATTAATAAATAGCATATGATTGAAAAGTAATTTAACAAAATGTTTGTTCATTTTTTAGTCTCTTAAAGGAATCCACAGAATTTTGTGTTATACTTTAGAGTATCTATCTTCTGCGATTTTTGCTATTCCACAATGAATGTAGTTTTCATCTTGCCTCAATATTTCGATGAATTCAAAATGTAAATATCAATATTCAATAACCATTTACCAGCAAGATTATCTAAGAATTCATTTCATGCAATAAATCTTCATTTTCAACATGCCGTGTTTATCTTCGTGCGGTGCTCTATGTGATTGAATCACATGTTTGCAAAAATGAATTCGGAACCACATTTTTGTCAAACATACAACCAATTGATATCACCCAATTATCGCTTTCCTCTCAATTCTTAAGAAAATGTTAAATCTATATTCTGAAATAATACAAAATTTTGATTTAAATTTAATGTCCTGCAGAGATTGAAATAAAAATGAATATATATTTTGTTCAATTACTTTTCGATTACTCGTTATTATTTAATACCTAATTTATAAATAATAGTTGACATTTGATTTTTATGCATATTAGTAAGATAAATAAGTAATGCTCGAATTTGATATTCTTCAAGACGATTTGTATTATCAATATCAAGTAAACTAAAAAGAATTGAACAAAGTTTCATTGTAGTTGTTGTAATTGACCACGTCGGTGGTGTCAGATGTATATAATCGAGAATACTTGAATTAAAATGAAGATGCATGATTGAATGAAGACAATCTTTTTTTGATTAGAAATGATTACGCGCACAAATGTTCTATTTTTTTATCTTTTGAATATGATAGATTAAAATGCAACAACAAAAAAAAAATTGTTTTTTTCTTCAAGATAAAAAACAAATATGAGATGATGAGAAGAAATATATTTTTTGATTCTGAATTATAATTTTATTTAATAAAGTTTATCCGAGTAATAAATCAAGAGCTGCTTTTAAATCCCAATTTGTTGCTTCGAGTGCTTGTCGATTCGCTGTTTGATCAGTTAAACCCATAGCATACATTTGGTCAAGAAGTGATTGTGCATTAGCTGGTTCATTTCCAGTAGTATCCATTGTTGTCGATGGATTTGTTTCTGATGTTGTTGAAGTTCTTTGTAAAACACTTTGTAATTGATCCATACTAATTATATTACGACGATTTGATGTTCTTGGTGTTTGTTGAAGTGAATTATTCGATGGACGAGAATTATTATTATTATTAATAGTAGTAGCCGTTGTCGATCGATTTGTTTGTTCAAGTGCACGATAAAAATCTTCATTTGTTATACGACGAGGCATTATATTAAATGTTGGTTGACGTGGTGCAACTGGTTCAATTAAATGAGGACTACCATTTAAAAAGTAAGCAGCTAAATATGAACATAAAATCATATTAAATGATTTTTTTTATTGAAATACAAAATTTACCAGGTGATAATTGTACATCATTAGAATTTGTTGAATTACTAGTTGATGTCCATTCTTTAATTACTTGAGTAATTACTTTATATAATAATGGATTAGCTTCAACAATTTCCGTAAGACGTTTAACATTGTAATTTTGACAGAAGAGCACTGAATCTTCACATAGACCTATATGAAATAATATCTTTTTATATTAGTAAAACGATTCTCTATTTCTTAGTAAAGTGTCAACAATTCAAAATTTTGAATAAAAGGTTTTTTTGTCATGGTTGGATTGAAATTCGTAAATGTGATAGCAAAACGGCGTAAATACGGATTTGTATTTCTAAGACTTTGACGATAAGAACTTTAGTTCTAAAAGAAACAAATATCGTATTCAGAATCAGCACAAAAATGTGCATCAAATAGTATATTTCAAACTAATTTTCATCAAATTTTTATCTTAGAAGAAGTACATATCTGAATATTCGAAAATAATAATGAAGAGATGTAAAGATCGAAATTTGACGAAAATTAGTTTTGATTATACTTAATTTTTTTTCTCCTAACCATATGATGCGTAAAATCGGAAAAATATTACGACTATTGAGACTAAATACTTTTGACGTATTTCTTTTTTTTTTTAAACATAAGTTTGATTACAAAAACATCATGTCTATGATAACTCGACAAACCCTATCTAACCATGACAAAAAAATATTTTTGTTCAATTTTGAATTATCAACAATTTATATTACCTAATGCACTTGAATCAAGTAATAATTCAGGTAATACTTGAGTTATTCTTCGCCAAAAATCTGGTGTTTTCATTAGCCAATATAGCTAATTTAATTAATAAAAAGAAATATATAAATAATATTATTCCTTAATATTTTTCTTACTCGATGAAATTCATTGGGTGTAGCTGATTTTTCAATTGTTTTTGAACTTTGATGAAGTTCATTTTTACTAGGTAATCCTATGCATTAGAAAAAAAAAACAAACATTCAAATTTTGAACTTTTTTTTCTTGTTTTCCTTGATAAAATATTTTACCAGCTGAATTTATTGTGAACGATTCATTTGGTAATTGAACTTTTGGTACAATTAATAAATTATCTTCATTTTCAATTTCATAATCATTTAGATTTTTATCATCCCCAATTAATTGTACACCTTGACAATATACATCTATATTTTGATTCATCCAAAAGAAAAGGAAATATGAAAATTTTTCTTTTTTTAATTTAATTTTAATTTCAACGTACCAAATGAATTATCTGATAATGAAAATATCTGAGCTATTTGTGATTTTAATTCATTTATTGAACATTCTTCAGTATTCAATTTATTCGGCATATCAATGCTACTACTATGATTTTTATTGTTCATGGTTGAATCTAATGGCAACAAATTGAATGTGTACATTGCCGTTCTTTTTTTTTTTTTTCTTTTTTTGTTTTTGGTTTATACTCTACAATTAAATGGGTTGTACATTAAAATTGAGTGTGTCCTGTTATCATATTTCTAATTTGATCACATTGTTCAATCTTTCTCCCATTAATTCGAATTACAGTGTAGCAAAATGAATTTCTTTTTACTATCAACATGAAAAAAAAAAGAAGAGAACTACCAAATCAAGGATGTCTATATGTATATATACACAAAGAAAAAAAATTGAAAGAACAATCTTTTGTTGTGAGACGTTCTTATCTTTGCACTCGATCTAGTCATGTACTACAATAAAATTGTGCATATCTCTCAAGACAAGACTAGACAAGAGTGAGACACTCAATCGCTATATGTATATGTGTGTTAAGTAATATGAGATTTTTCTTTCTCTTAAAAATCCTCTTGAGTACATGAGCGTTAATGGATTCGAGCTGTTTCAAGAAGAGATACACTCTCGAGTTTTTCTTTCTTCATTTAGTACATGTAACATATTCTCTCTTCAATGTCAACAGTAGCTATCAAATGATAGTATATATATATGTATATCTATATTGGCGGTAGTGCTCTTGAATCTATATCTATCTTAAAAGCATTCATCATCATCATCTAAGATTACGAGTCTTATTTCCGACATTATTCTCTTTGTTATAGGCATATGTCGAAAGATCATTATCTAAAATTCCCCTATGCCATGGATTGTTCTGTTTAAATCTAGTCTCTAGAGATTTATTACACATATATACATGCATGTATGCTCACAGTTATTCTCGAAAAAATAAAAAGATGAAGTTGTTTGTAACCAGGAATCCCAATGAGTATGTAGTAGATATATGTATGTGTATGTGTGAAAGAAAAACGCTCACACATTTGTCAATACATTTATACGGATGGACATTTTTTCACATCATGTGTATTGTCATTTGACACGGACGAGATCAATATCCGGCTGTTTAAAGTATATATTTGCCTTCATTTGCTTTCTTTCAATATGAAGTAACAAAATTCCAAGTTTACATTGTTTTCTTTTCTCTACATTAACATTAGTTAAATCGTAGAACAACAATATATATATATACATAAAAAAAAAAGAAAGCTGTCTTAATAATCTTATTCAATAAATGTGTATATAAATGAGTATCAACAATATGCTTAGTAGGAAGTCTCATCTTCTGCTCTGTTCGCTGTCAATCATAGTTGTCATTGTTATATCTCTTACATGATACTAATGCACATATATATATATGTATTCATTGATAGTAGTTCTATCCCATGACGATGTATGTTTACAAAAAAAAAACAAAAAAAGTGTGAGATAATCATTTTGCACCCCTACCGTCTGTTTTATCATGTCTTTACTTCCTTACATATGCTGTGTCATTGCCATTCTATCGCTAATAGGAGTGAAGGCGTGAGTTAAAAAATAGACAAGAAGAAGAAATGAATGAATATAACATAAGATGATCTTCTTACGCAACTCTCAAGCGTATATACTTGGACTCTCATATACACTAATGATCATAATCTTACTCTCTCTTCTAACAGACAACGATTCACTAATGATGATTTTGTGATATTCATGTCAGGTAGTGAACACAATTTATTTCGTGATGTAATTCATTTTGTACGGTTTCAATTAATTCTCTTATCGCAGTCGTTGTCACCGCCGCCGCCGCCACTACTATACTACAATCGAAAGAATAACAACCCACATTTCATCTAATGTCCGACTGAGGACGTTTTGATTTTTTTTTTTTCATTTTTGTCTCCTTGCTATATGTATATACAATATATACATGTATAGCTCTCCGGGTAACCTAATCTACTTCTCCTTCTTCCATCTAGCGGTATACACGCGCGATAATCGTTTTGAAAATAGCTTTTTAAATTGGTGACTAAAAAAGCGGCATCAGATTAATACAGACATACACATATGTAAACGAATAGTTTTTTAAATAACATGATAATCGATTATGAACATGTATATTTTCAAGTGTGAATATGTTATAAATACTGTTCTGTCTTATTATATTCATTTTTCATGAAATACACAAAAAAAAAGAGAGAGAGAGAGAGAGAAATGCTTACATAGACAAATACAACAATAAAGAAAAAAGAAAAAAAAAAAGAAAACGAAAGATGATTATTTATTATATCCCATCATCATCATCATCATCTTCTCTATGTGGACAAAAACTTGAATCAAAATGATTATCAATTAATTGAACATGAGTTCTTTTTGTTCTTTTCAACCATATATTAAGTACAGAAGCAAGTGTTCTTTGTTCAATATTAAATTGTGACCATAATGAACGAAATAAAAGTCCATGTATTGAACATGCTGGTGCAAATATCGATATACGATTACTTGATTGACGAAGATTTTCAATAAGTTTCAAAGAAAAATCATTTGAATTAATATATAATTTATCTAAATGTAATTGTGTTTGATCAAATAATGATTGTATAATTAATATAGATACATGTGAAGGAAATAAACGTATAGCTTCACTACCTAAAAAACATTTATATTGTGGTTTTAATTGACATGTTGATGGTATTTGTGTATTCCAATAAATCATAGCTTCATTAATTTTTGTTATACCATTTATACTACCTGGATAATCAATAAACCAACCTGAATCAATAATAACACGAAGATCAATTGTTGAAGAAAATTTTTTTAATAAATTAGGTAAATTTAATAAAAGACCAAGACCACCGGCTGAAAAACCTGTAAATATAATTTGTTTAGCTTTTTGAAATTGTTTATCAAATTTTAAATCATCAAATATAGCATGAAATATATCATAACCATGTGAATATGTTTTATTTGATGAACCCGACCATAAATCAGATGAACAATATGGTACATAAATAATATTATATTGTTTTAATGATGAAAATATACCAATGAAAGATTTTTTTTCATTCATATTATTTGATGTTATTAAATTTGGTGAATATATACGACGAAGATTACATGATTCTTTTGAATAACAAAACCAACCACCATCAAAATAGATTAACCAATATGAATTATTATTATTTGATAAACGTATATAATATGAAGCAATACTATCATCCATACAACGTGCTTGTGGATAATTAAATAATGATTTACGATAGAAATTTTTTTGTTGATATGTTGATTTAATAAAAGAAGAATCTATTATTGTTGGTGTTGCTGTTATTGTTGTTGTTGTTGCTATTGCTAATGATGTTGAAATAAATGTTGTTTCACGATGATAGATAAGTGTTAAAAAAAATAAACTTGGTATAGTTAAACAAAGAAATAATATTGTAAGTCCAATTTCAATATAATATGTTTTATGATTTGAATTTATTTTAATTAATTCAGGACTTGGTGTTGGGGAAGAATAAGATAATGGTGAAGATGATACTGACGACGTCATCATTAACTTGTGTGAGTGTATATGAACAACTAATTTTAACTTTACACCTTCATTGTGCTACTCGTTATACACTCTGCTTGCCTTTTTTTTTTTTCTTTTGCTATGTATTAGCGAACAAACATCGAACACGAGAGAGAGAAAAGAAACGCAAAGAAAAAGAGAAGAGAAAGAGAGAGAGAGAGAGAGAAAGCGAAAAAGAAAAAAACTTAAAAGAATAGAAGAATATGAAACACTTTATGCATATCTTCATGTGTATAACAAATGATTATTGATGGTAGATGAACAAAGTAATGACAATTCTACACCTGAATAAGAATATTTCATGCTGTGAATAAATGAATTTGCTCAAGAAAAAGAAATTTTTTTGTCAAATGAACAGTCATTCAATTCAATCATCATCACGGCATGATATGAAAAATGAATAAATCCTATATTCTTGAACGTTATACATAAGTATATGCAGATGGTAAAATTCGAATGAATCAACAAGTGTAAAAGCTTTCCTGTTGAGATAAAGAGAATTTGTCTGACTGTGATTTACTTTCAACGGTCAAGTTCGTCACATACAGAATCTACACATATGTTTATGTCTGTCTATGTCTGAGTTTTTGTATTCGTCTACTGTCACAGTAGGAAATTACATTGTCAATCAGATCATATTGTCAAAGAAGAGACTTCTCTATTCAAATTGTTTTTCATCTTTATTTCGAGTAATAACAGACATCATTTAGATAGACAATAATAGATAACAATCTGTTTCTATTTCATGATCACTAATTCTACAATATTGTCGGTATATATTGTTTGATCTACTTAAAAATCTCATTGTATATACAAAAATAACCTGTTCATTTATCTCTTGCTTCAACAGTAAATAATTGGTGAAAAACGATTATTTTATGTATACCAAATGACATTCGATAGATGATAAGAATAAAGACAAAGAAAGAGCGAGAAATGAGATGATCCAGAAAAGCAACACGAACAAAACAAATCAATTAATCGTTTATAGTCTAGGCGGCGGCGGCGACAATGACGACGGCGGCGGCAAACATTTTCCAATATAAAAGCACATACGCGTGAACAAATTGATATTGATATTACTAGTAAAGTATGACTTACTTGAATATATATCAATGATTGATCAAGTCGAGGAAGAAAGATTGGAAGAGAGAGAGAACGAATGAAAAAGTCAAATGAAAGGATCTAAAAAAAAATTAATAACAACACTTGATTTTCAATAAACACTTATATACAAGAGATTTCATTTTCATTCATTCTTACGTATATCTAAAATACGAAACAATGTTACAAAATAATCATAGAAAGCTTGTCTAAACAAAAAAAAAAGAAGAAATAAAATATCAAAACTCAATCGCCTTGAAATATCTCGATCCTTATGCATAAGGAATAAAACTCGTCTTTCGTCAATTATATACATATATATGATTTATAAATAGAGAATATTATATTTTCGTTACTTATTTAAAAATAATATTAATCAATAGATGCATATAAAAAATGAGTTTTAATAATTAACAAAAGAAAAAAAAAAAAGAAAACTATACTTTTAAACATTTTTTTTGTCACGATATTTTATCTAATTTCATTGTTGACCTTTAAGAAAAGTACGTCAATTAATTACATCATCATAATGTTCTGAGATAAGGGAATTAGAAATGCAAACTATTCTAAATATGAATACAATAGGGAAAATATAAAGATTATTAACAATCTTTGAACATATTTATAGTACACACAGAAATATCGTAACAAAAAAAGAAAAAGAAATCAACAAAACAGCTGATGACAAACATAAACCAATCGTGTTACATGTCCATAGATTGCGTTTCATACTGTCAGTTTCTTGTAACTGACAGGATTGTTGTTTTACAATTGTCGTATTGAACAGGCAATATTAGTAGATTATGTCAATCATATTCATTATGAAATAAGAATACAAGTTCATTTTTTAGAAACTTCTTGTTAAAGATTGAATAAAATTAATAAGATTGTAGTTCGTGTGTATCATTTTGAAATAATTGTGATTCATATAATACTAACTATAGGAAAAAATTTAATAATAATAAAAACAAGTGTTTTATAGTTTTACTTGATTCATTTGATTTACAGGTCGTGGTATAATTTTATGTAGATCATGCAGGTTTTCTTCATATCGTTTTAAATCATATCATTGAGATTGAAGAGTTTTATCCATTCCAACTTGATCATGTTTAGCTAAGATTATTTAAAGGTCTAATAGAGTGTTCCAAAAATCTGTCAGGATAAAAAAAAAACACACGAATAGCTCTTGAATAGTTCAAGCAATTTTTATGAATTTTCTACAATCTCGTTCAATGTTCCTTTAACTTTTACTCGACATAGTGTAGATCAAATGCTTATGCTTATAAACATTAGAATCAAAATAGTTTTACTAATGATTGCATTTAACACATAAATGCCGATGGTATTAAAGATATCTCTAAATGCTTTTATGAAACTAATACTTGAGCAGATGAATCACATTCTGAACGTCCTACAATAATGACAGAAGGAAAAGTTGAGACAGTTCATGTTAATAATGAAATTGTATCGGCACGAAGTGTTCTGGTTGTTTGAAATATTTTTTCAATAGCACTCAGAATTATGACAGAACTTAGTATGAGATGTCTTCACATTTCGACAATAAAGTACATCAGTTTCTAGTAATATTGTCGATATTTTTTAGGGTTGGGTGGTGCTAAAAATTCTTACAACAGACGACCTATCAGCAGGCAGTCCTATCTTCGGAGCCTGTTTCAAATCCTATTTACCTCACAAAGATATTGCCAGAAAAAGGCAAATATTATTTCAACATCCGATTTCTGTGTAAAACTACCACGAAATTGTAAAAAGTTGGTAGAAATTCGGGCATTTGTAGGAAGAAAAGCTCTCTAATCGAGAATCCTGGTTTTTAGGCAACATTTTTCTTAACATGCGAATTCCAAAGAACGATTCTTTTCGATGAGCTTCACGCTCATTGAACTTAGTCAGAGATGGAACCGATCTGGATTTTTCACGACCAGTATTGGTTCTAACTCTGAACTTATCATTTCTCAAATCTTTTATATTGTAAAATATTTAAGACAATGTCTTCAAGGTCGCGTTGAATTGATAAAAGAAATCTGTAAGAAAAAAAAATGCAATAGTTTGAGAATAGTAATTCTATCTAATGTTTCATTTTTCAAAAGTTTTAGACTTGTAAATTTCATGTCAATGAATGCAAATAAAATTCTCCGAAATAAAATTTTAAAGAAAGTCGAATAAACTGATAGAAAGTTCACACGCATAATCTGCATTGCTAACAAGTTATTCGCATTCTTTGTCCTGACGGACTTTTGGAACACCCTGTAGATTAATATATTTACTTGTTGTTTGATTTTTTATGATACAAAGTTCACGATCCACTAATAAAAATATATTAGTTAATTGAAGAATAGTTTCATCAGGAGAAATCCTTCGTAATGCTTCATATATATTAAAAATTAATGAACTCGAAATACTATTAAAAGTACGAATTAATTTTAGAAGTGAAGGTAGTAATTTCGTATATGTTTTTAAATCTGACGATGTTATTATATCGATTAGAATAAAAAATTTTGAAGATGATAGAAAATTATCTAATAGTTCAATATTTTCATCTTGAAAAATGAATAAAATTTCGTATAAAACAAAATTAAATAATTTATCATACTAATATGAATATTTAATGTACTAAATTTTTGTAAATAATTCTTGAGTTCGTTGTTTAAATGTTTCTTTGTTTCTTCAATTATTTGATATATAGATATGAATGATTTCTGTAGATTTTTTTCATATTCTAATTGTCCTTCAGCATTTAAATTCATTTTAAATCGATGGTATTTTGCAATATTGATCATTGATTTATATCAGAAAGAAATTCTTTGTATTAATGGTTCATGAATAAATTTCGAAAAAAAACAAACTTGCAAATAGAGTGACTAAATTAGAATTTGTATCAGTCACAAAGGTAATAATGGTGTTTCATTTGGATTCATTCAATAGTAATATATTTGATTATGTTCAAGTGATGATAAAAGATAAGCTAATTCAAACGCAAATATATCAGAATCAATGAGTTTGAGTGATGAATATGATAGAAGATATTGAAAAATGGTATGAAATACATTTAGACGAAGACTTTGATTAAATTTATGATAAGATGAATGAATATAGGTCATGTATGTTGCATTAGTTTTGTCATCGAATGAAAATGTATTTTTTGTTGATGAGCAAAAGTTTGTTTGCCAAGACGTTTTTTTTTTTGTTACTAATTCAAAATCATTAATATTAAGTAATTATTCAAAAGATTCATTTGAATTATTCGATAAATACTTTAATTCAATATGTTTTTCATGATTTTATTCATGTTTTGTGCAATGAATTTTCTTTTAATCGTTCATCATTGAATAATTCAAATTTAATTTGATTCTGTTTTAATAAAATAAATAATATTTTTGTATAGAGTGTGTTACTAATTTTATATATGAATAACGAATTTGTTTATTCATTGTAATATTTTGTACGTTTATGCCAAATTTTTTTGAATTATTTGATAATAACATTCGACATTGTTTTAATAAATTAATTAAACACAAAAGACTAACGCTTTACTAGATTCTTGTTCAATGAGACTTACATTTGAATAATATTCGAATTTATTATTTAGTGAATAAGTAAATCGATCAGCTAAAATAACACCTAACGGAGTAAAACCAACAATCTTTTATAGGCTTCATCAATGGTATGAAATAAGACAAAAGGAAAAGTTATAGAATTTTATATGTTGATGTATAAACACTGGCAAAATACACAAAAGAATACACTGTTACAAATACGAAATATTCCGTTTAGTTAAAATAAATATACTTTAACTAGATTTTTGAAATATTAGAATAAAATATTGATAAATACCATTGAAAGAAAGTATCTATTGTTATAGA